AGAAGTTTTTCCTGACAGCACAGAAAAGCTGTGTTCCAGAGACAGCCATGGCTGTTCCTCGTGTTGGCAGAAGGATTTGATGTGTAATAGTGACCAAGGTGGTACTGGCTTTGCAGCCATGAAGGAGTAATTGAGACCAGTTGAGGCACAGCACTGTGAGAGGCCAGGAAAGGCCATTGGTGAAGGTGCAGCCTCAGTAGCAGGTGAAGGCCCAGAACGAAGGGGTCACGCAAAGAAGTTGAGGCTTGGCATTAAGAAGAGAGCCTAGTAGTGAAAGTGTAGCCCAGCTACAGCAAGGGACCCCAGCATTTTGGAGACGCCAGTACCATGGGAAGATCACCAAGAACAGTAGCAGCAGTGGGGTCGAGTCAGCCAGAGCCTACAAGACAAAACTACGGCTGCATCGGGCAGGGCCGAGCAAGTGACCCAAACCCATTGGAGGAGTACAGAAGATCATGAGGGAATCCCAGACAATTGGACATTGAGCTATTCATACTGTTGAAGCTTGGTTTTGCTTGGTTCAGATTGTGATGGTGCCCTGGTTTTTCTCTCTTGAAGAAGTTAATTTAATTTTGACTTTTTTTTTTTTAAGATTTATTTATTTATTTTGTATACAGCATGTATGACTACAGGTCAGAAGAGGACACCAGATCTCATTACAGATGGTTGTGAGCCACCATGTGGTTGCTGGGAATTGAACTCAGGACCTCTGGAAGAGCAGTCAGTGCTCCCAACCTCTGAGCCATCTCTCCAGCCCCCTAATTTTGACTTTTAAAGGAGCCCACAGGTGAAAGACTTGAACTTTTTAAAAAGGTTGAATTTTTTTTTTAACTTTTATTGATTCTTTGTGGATTTCACATCATTCATTCTGATCCCACTTATGTCCCCATCCCTTCCCATCTGTTCTCAGCCGTTGCAACCTCCCCCAAATCAAAAACAAATTTAAAAGAAAAACCAAAACCAAACCAAACCAAACCAAAGAAGAATCTTGTCATGGAAGCTGTGTGTGGTGTGGCCTGTTGAGTCACAAAGTTTACCCTTTAGTCCATTCATCTTTTCTTCCAAGTGTTCACTGCCCAGGTGGGCTCCCCAGCCCTGCCTCAGCTAGCTCACCCAAGGCAGTCTAGAGCAAGGAGCGGGGACTGTTCTCAGGCCCTCAGTCCTAGGTCCCCCACACTCAAATCACCAACGCCAGCTCTATTGTTTCGCCAAGGCAAGGTACAAGGCTCTCTCTCCCAATTGCTGTAAGGGGCATACAAGAGTGGTGTGGCATCAGCTCTTCACCTCTCACAGGCTCAAGGCTGGCTCATCTGTGGCCCTGACAACAGGCTCAGCTGAGTGTACTGTCCAGGTGGGGTGCAGGGCCTGCTCTGCTGTGTGCTGCAGCTGGTGAGGGGCAGGGCTGGTTCTCTCACTCTCATGACCCCAGTCCCAGCTCTCTCACCTGCTGAGGTAACTGGTGGGAGTGGGAAGGCATCTTTCTCTTGTCCATGCCACCACATGGCAGAAGAGGGAAGAGAGGCTAGCTCTCCTGCTCTCACACCGTCAGGGTCATCTTACCTGCATCCCTGATCTACTGTGCTGCCTAGGTGAGGTGCATGCCTGTGGTAAGGGTTGGGGCCATCTTTCCCAAGGGCAGGGGCGAGCTCTCCCCTGAGGAGGGTAGGACCAGCTCTCCTGCTACAGTATGCAGTGAGGAGTGAGGCCAGCCATCTCAGGGACAGTGAAGGGTGGCGCTAAACACAGCATGGTTCAATGAGTCCCTATGCTAACATGGGCCATGGACATCATCACAGACCCCAGCTGCAGGAGGACCACAGACCTAAGCATGGCCTTTGGCAGCAGCTCAGACCCAGATATCATCATGGCCCAGTGGTAGCACAGGCCACCCAGATCAGTATGGCCCTAGTGGTAGCATGGCTCTCAGACACCAACTTGGTCTAAGGGGGCTGACGAGACCCTGGGCATCTGCAGAGCCCTTGGTGGTAACAGGAGCCACAGACATCAACTCAGACCCTGGCTGCTATAGGGCCACAGACCCAGACACGGTCTTTGGCAGCAGCCCTGGCCCAAATGTCACCACAGTTCCAGGTAGCAGTGCAGGCCACTCAGACCAGTATGACCCCCATAGCAGTGTGGCCCTTACACATCAACATGGCCCAAGGTGGTGGCCCAGACCCCCAGCATTGACTGTTTTTGATGGTCTCAGGAGCATAGACCCTGTCTGTGGCAGGGCCATGGACCCAGACATGACCCTCAGCCACAGCCCTGGTCCAGATGATACCATGGCCCCTGGCAGCAACATGCCTCAGGCATGGTTAGTGCAAAAAACCAAATCTAATTAAAATTTCCTCTTCCTCAGTGACCAGGAATTTTGACCCACTTTCACAGACAGAACAATCTAACCCTCTTATATCATTTTAAAAACATCATCATATTTTAACAGAACCCACACACAAAATGAATTTTTGATTGGGTAATGTAGCCTAATAACAAAGCCTGTGTTTACATCATGTCAGGCGTGGCTTCGGGTTCAGTACTAAGAAAAATATGAATGACAAAGGTGACGACAGGAAAACTCTACAGCAGCACTGACAAGGCTCTAAAGGAGAGAGCACACCACCCACGACCCCCCCCACGACCCCCCACACCACAGTCTGAACGCAGCATCACCAACATGGCAGCTCTCCAAGCTCTGAAGAGCTGCAGGTTCCGGTTGCCTTTTCACCACAGCAAGAAAGTGGACTTGGACAAAATGGTTTCCTGTGAACAGAACAGGCTGGGAGGCCTTCTGCACAGCTGTCTGCTTTGCACACAGCTGTATGCTTTTGGAAGGAGGAAGCCAATGCAGCACTCTAGCGCACTCCTGTCCGCACAGTGCCAGAGGAATGACAAAGCCACAGAGCCACAGCCTTTGCTCTGTCACAAACAACTCACAATTCCAGGAGCCCTGACACACTCACTCTTCCCTGCTTCTGGTGGACCAAGGTGTCCTCCTTATGGGCAGTAGAAGTGACTGTCGAATGAGCTCAACATGATACATCTCAGCATCTACACTGGATTCAAACCCAGTGGCAAGGGTGAGGCTTTCTGAATATCCATGCACCCTAGTGGATGTTTGGTGAAAGAAAGTAACAGCATCCCTAGTTCATGAAAGAGACATAAGGACTGGATATTCTGGATGGTCCTGAGGCCAAAACCAATAGAGTTGGGGTAGAAGGAATCGTGAATTCTCTCCAGACACAGCAATGGGAAGGAAGGCCTGCTTTGCAAACACAGTATTTTGGAATGCGGCTTTTTCACACCTCATACTTAAACCTATCCATTTCATTGTTTGGTTGGGTGTTTTGGTTTTTTTTTTTTTTTTTTTGAATCACAGTCTCTCTATTATGGAACACTGACTGGACTGAAACACAAAGTATAGACCAGGTTAGCTTGAAGCTCACATCACCTGCCTCTGCCTCCAGAGTGCTGGGATAAAAGGCTTCACCTACCATGTCCTTCTATTCAACCTAACCACTTTATAAAAGAAAATTAAAATACAGTCAAGGGAATACGAACACTGAATGCATTGAGAAATGAAATTACATGGCAGCAATAGTCAGCAAACGATACAAGAGTTATAAAAATAGAAAGCAAGGCTCAAAATCAGATGAAGACATTTCCTGGCCCCAGAATAGGAGGTATGTCTACATACACGAGGGAAAATCGTTCAAAAGCCTCAAGATGAAACTGACAAAGAGGTCCTTCCCTAGTGATGAGGTAGAGATACCTAAGAATTTAACTCAGGGAGCTCATCATGCATTCTATTGCTTCTATGGTAAATAAAAGTTATTTCAATACCTTAATATTCACAAGAGGAACAGTATTATCTACACTTGCATTAAATATTGTTATAGGTGAGGTAACCTGAGTCTGCAGGGCAGGCACATCTTCCAGGTCCTTGTGCATCTTTGCAATGACATGTACATACACAAGAGGGAGCTATGGAGTAGCCTGAAATCTATGCCATATCTGGACTGTGAATTGAAACAGGTGGCAAAAGGGGGGGGGGGTTCGAGGGAGGGCTATGGGTCATTAACTTAGGGTCCATCTCCAAGATCTAAACAGGGATTTTGTAAGAGTGCTCCCTTGGGTGAATGAAGCTCAGGTAGATTAAAGCTCCCATCCTCTCAGCTGCCACTGCCTTCTACATGTTCATCCATAGAACCTCCTGCAGTTTCTAATTTTTTTTTCTGCCTCAATTTCCCTGTGGTTCTAAAAAAAACTTATGAGGGGGTTGGGAATTTAGCTCAGTAGTAGAGCACTTGCCTAGCATGTACAAAGCTTCGGTCCTCAGCTCTGGCGCGCGCGCGCGTGCGCGCGCGGGGGGGGGGGGGGGGGGGGGGGGGGGGGGGGGACGACGACACGGACACCACACGACACGGGACTTATGAGGCTGCAGAAGGATTATGAAAACCTCTTTCCTATTGACAGCTAAAATATTATAGAAATACATGAAACTGTCAAAATGAATAAAAGCATCAGTAAAAACTAAAAAAAAAAAAAACTCCAATTCTCTGCTTAATGAATACTGAGAAGTACGAGCCACAAAATTTCCATAAATGAAGTTGATGATGAGACTGTGTAAAGATGAAAAGCACTTATTGCTCTTCCAAAGTACTGCAGTTTGTATCCTAGTACCAAACTCAGTCAGCTCACAACTGCTTCTAACTAAAGTGGGGATCCTACACACTCTTCTGACCCCAGGAACTTGCATGGGCGCACATACATACAAACACAACAGACAGAAGCTATGAATCTTTGGAAAAGAAAAAGTCTACACAAATGACAACCAGAAAATGCCCAGTAACATAAACCTAATTACCAAGAAGGCTTTCCTATATATATATATATATATATATATATATATATATATATATATATATACTGTTCAATGAGACACCTCTTATGAATGTTAAAATAACTAGAGTAGGAAAAGGCTTTTCCACGATGCTTACATGTGTAAGTCTTCATTCTTCAGTGAATTCTTTCATGCCTGGTATGATATTAACCTGAAGGAACAGCTTCCGATATACATTACATGGAAACAGTTTCTCTCTGGTGCAAATTCTTTCATGAGTAATACAGTAAGAAGAGCTGGCGAAGGATTTTCTACAATTTTTAAGTGCATGAGATGTCTCTCCAGTATGAATTCTTTCATGAGAGTTACATCAACTGAAACTGGAAAAGGTTTCTCCACAATGTTTACATGTTTAAGACTTCTCTCCAGTATGACTCCTTTCATGCTTGTTACGGTAACCAGAACTGGTGAAGGCTTTCCCACAATGCTTACAGGCATAAGGTTTCTCTCCAGTGTGAAGTTTTTCATGAGTATTACGAGAACTCAAAATGGCAAACATTTTCCCACAATGCTTACATGCATAAGGTTTCTCTCCAGTGTGACCCCTTTCATGAGCATTACACCAAATAGAACTGGTGAAGGCTTTCCCACAATGCTTACAGGCATAAGGCTTCTCTCCAGTGTGAATTTTTTCATGAGTGTTACGGGAACTCAAAATGGCAAAAGTTTTGCCACAGTGCTTACATGCATAAGGTTGCTCTCCAGTGTGAATTCTTTCATGAATATTACGATAACTGGCTTGGGAAAAGGCTTTTCCACAATGCTTACATGTGTAAGGCTTCTCTCCAGTGTGACTTCTTTCATGAGTGATAAGAGAACCCAAAATGACAAAGGTTTTGTCACAGTGCTTACATGCATAGGGTTTCTCTCCAGTGTGAATTCTTTCATGAACATTGCGATAGCTGGAATTGTTGAAAGCTTTTCCACAATGCTTACATGCATAAGGCTTCTCTCCAGTATGATTTCTTTCATGAGTGATACACCCAGTCAAACTTGCAAAGGTTTTGCCACAATGCTTACATGTGTAAGGTTTCTCCCCAGTGTGAATTCTTTCATGAATGCTACAAGAAGTGGGACTTGAGAAGGTTTTTCCACAATCTTTACATGCGTAAATCTTCTCTCCAGTGTGAATTTTCTCATGACAGTTTCGAGACCTCAAAATGGCAAAGGTTTTGCCACAGTGCTTACATGCATAAGGTTTCTCTCCAGTATGAACTCTTTCATGAATGTTGCAGTAACTGGAACTTCTGAAGGTTTTCCCACAGTGCTTACACATGTAAGGCTTCTCTCCAGTGTGACCCCTCTCATGAGTGTTGCACCAGCTGGAACTGGTGAAGGCTTTTCCACACTGCTTACATGCATAAGGCTTCTCTCCAGTGTGAGTTACTTTATGTTTCTCAAAACATGAAGCATACTGAAATGTTTTCCCACACTGCTTACAACTGTATTTTTTCTTTCCAATATGACATTGTTCAGGGTTGATAAGATTATTGGAATCAATAGAGGCTTCTTCACTATGGTTGTGAACAAATGATTTCACTTCTGTATGGATTCCATCATCTTTTGGGTTATATGTATATCTCCTTAATATGTTTCGATTGAGTTTATCTCCACACTGTGTTCTCTCATGATGCTGATTAGAAGGGAGACTCCGAAAGTCTTCCTTACATTGCTGATTCTCATGAGATTTCTCTCTGGGAGAAGTTTCAAGTACCTGAAGTGATTCAGAATTACTGTTATTTTCCCAATGTTTCTGATGTATAAAAGCTTCCTTACATTGAGATTCTTTCCCTGTAGTTTGGTCTCTGAGATACACATGTGAGGATGAATGATCAATGATGTTTCTTACAAGCAATGGGCTTTCATGAACTATTACTGCAGAAGGATTGTCTTCATTAACCATATTCTTTTGAATCGGATGATGGTTGCCATCACACTGACTATCACATTTATATTCACAGTCTTTCTCAACCAACTGAGTTCTGTAAGAAATGAGAAGACAATTACTTTAAACAAGGGAAATGTTGAAGGCTGGTTAATGTGGTCCACTACAACTTTACTATTAGAGGAAAAAGCAGAATACCTCCAAAGTTGAGTACAATGTAACTACTTGTCAACCCATCATATGTAAAAAAGTAGACTGTTGACTATGCTTCATTAAGTACAATGAATGCAGCAGGGTAGTGGTGGTATACACCTTTAATCCCAGCACTAGGGAGGCAAAGACAGGCAGACTTCTGTGAGTTCAGTGCCAGCCTGATCTACAAAGCTAATTCCAAGACAGCTAGGGCTACTGAGAGAAAGCATGTCTCAAAAATCTAAAACCAAAAATCAAACAAACAAAAAAAATTATGAAGGAGCTGTATCATAATCTTAGAGATTAAGAACAATCCTTGCTCGTCCAGTAGACCAGAGTTTTAACATAAGCACTCATGTGGATGGTTCACAAATTCCTGTTGGTCTTGAGTTGAAGGATCTATTGTGCTCTTCTGGCCTCTGCAAATCTTTTTCCCACAGGCAGTGTACAAAGTATACATATACATACACATAAAATAATTAATAGATATAGATGGTGTGAACATTCAGGTACAGGTCTTGGCATTAAGAGACAATCATAACAATCACATAAAGTTGTTGCATTTTGGCATTCAAAATACTCAGCCTGCATTGGTTAGTTTATCAACTAGACCCATCTTGGGTCACTGGAGAATAAGGACCCTTAATTGAGAAAATGGCTCAAAAACATTGGACTGGAAACAAGTCTTTAGGAGCATTTTCTCATTCCTGATTCATGAGAGAGGGCTTAGCCCATGGTGGAAGGTGTGCCTCTGGGTAGGTGGGTATGAATTTTATAAGAAAGATACCTTAGTAATCCACGACAAGCAAGCTAATAAGCAGCATTCCCCCATGGTCTCCAGTTTAGTTCCAGCCTCTGGGTTTCTGCCTATTTTGAGCTCATGCCCTGCCTTACCTCCTGGACTATAACGTGGAAGTATAAGCCAAAATATGCCCATTGCTCCAAAAGATGACTTTGGTCATGGTGATATAACATGAACAGAGAGCACTCTAAAACAGAAGTTAGTTACCAGGTTCATAGGGTATTACTGTGACAGAGCTGACCATGTGGTTTTCATGAAGACTGTGAAAATGACCAGAAACACATAGGCTACAGTACCTTCATCACCAAATCTCAGAGGATAATGAGTTGTCTCAGGAACTCAGTGGACAGGAATGCTGAGAACAATGTAAATGATGGAAGTTTGACTTCTCTAGTTCTAAGGATAATGGAATGTACCTAAAAGGCTCTACTAGGACAGTTCCTGTGATATTTTCTATTAAGAATCTGTGCTTTCTAATGTTACATCATGCTGTTTATTGTAAGATTGGGATGGTTTAGAGAGAAACAAACCATGAAAGGTTCTGGATTAATAGTGTGGGATTTGTGTGTACTGTAGACAAGAAGTCAAGTGTTTTGGTTAGTTTCCATCAACTTGACTCAAGCTAGTTCACACATCTGAGAAGAGGGAAAACCAAAGGAGAAAAGGCTCTGCCAGACAGACATTTAGACATGTCTGCGGAGACATGTTCCAGTTACTGTGGGTGTTGGCTCCTAGAGAGATCAGCCAGGGTTGAAGAAGGCAGGAGCTGAGTAAAGAATGGGGAACACACCAGCAAACAGCATTTCTCCATCACCTCTGCTTCAGTTCCTGCCTCCTGATGCCTGTCAGGCTCACGTTCCTGCCCTGCTTCCCTTTATGATGGGACTGTGATAAGGAACTGTAAGTAAAACGGAGCTCCACTCCACAGTTGCTTTCTCTCACAGCAAGAGTGGGAATAAAACACAGCCCTTATGTTTAAGCCTCAGAAAAGTATTTAGAATGATACTAAATAATTTTAAATATGAAGGAAAGATTTTGTGTAATAAACTACTGGAAAAGCTCTTTTGGAGATTAATGTTCCATCACATGTTGGTAATATTCATAAATTACAGATGGTATACACAAATATAGAACAATATAATTCAATGCTCTGTTACAGGAAATTGTGGTTAGATTCAATTTGTTAGATTCATTTTATCCTCTCACTCCCAAATGTTAAATATAAATTCCTTTCTATTGAATATAAATTACCCCAGGTTTCTGCAGAGATCTTTGTAGTCCTCTTCAATATTTTCTTCTAGTCCTTTCTCTAGAAGTAAACCCAAAGAATTTATTATGACATATTCAAGATTTAAAAAAATTATTGTAATCTTGCTCTTATGGCATGGGTATGCACACTAAAGTCACTACATGTTCCATTCAAGAATTCAAATCACACCACTACATATAGAAGCACGAAACAGTTGTTCTATGACTGAATATGCAACAGGAGTAGGTTGTATTTTTTACCTATGGAGATCAGGTTCATAAATGTTTCCTTCATCACATCTCTGTAGAGCTTCTTTTGACTGGAATCCAACAAAGCCCACTCGCCTGAGGTGAACTTCACAGCCACATCCTCAAAGGTCACTGGCTCCTAAAATAGTGCACATATTAAGATGGTTACTTTTCACTGACAAGCTGACAATATACAGAATCATCTAGACTGAAGATTCTGAAGATACTTCTAAGTAATTACACAGATAACTGCTAATCACAAAACATCTGTAGGATGCTATCTTGAGTTTTTATTGTAAGAAAGGCAGATGCACAGTCTCAGTTACTATTCTATTGCTGAGATAAGACTTCATGACCAAAGAAGTATTTAATCAGGGCTTGCTCACACTTTTAGAGAGTTAGTCAATGATTATAATGACAGGAAGCAGACAGGCATGGAGCTGGAAAAGTAGCTGTATGTTTCTCCTGAAAAAGATAGCAGGCAAAAAGATGGACACAGTGTCAGAAATGGTCTTCTAAAACCCCAAAGACCACCTCCAGTGACACACCCCCTAAACTGAGGCCACTTCTAATACTTTCCAATGAGTTCCACTGACTGGGGACTAAGGTTTCAAACACATGAGCCTACAGGGTCCAGTCATATCCAACACAACACACACACACACACACACACACACACACACACAAACACTTGAGATGAAGCACTTTGGGAACTGTATAGAGATTATATTAATGGAAGGAGGGAGCGGAGACACAGACAACTACACATCATTCTGTTCCTGATTGTGTGTGATTTGACCAGACGCTTCACAGTGATGCATTTTATGGAGTGTACTCTACAACTGTGAGATGAAATAAATGCTTTCTGCTTTAAATCTCATTCCTCAGATCCATTTATGACAATCAGATGAAAAGCCTAATACAAGAATTAGATTTTTTTAAAACTGGGGCCTTTGTTGTAAGCAAAACTAACCTGGTTCTCTACTGGCCTTTTGAACATGCCTTAGAAGAAATGTGGAGGAATTGGCAAGAAAATTCTCTTTAGACAAAAAAAAAAAAAAAAAAATCTAGAACACACTGAACACAAAGCTAAATGAATCATTCTGGTAGAAACTTAGACACTTCAAAGACAAAAAATACTGAAAAAAATGCCTACAGAGGAGATATGAATCAGGAAAGTTCAGTGAGGAACAAGGACTCAGTCAGGAACTCGAGTAAGGGCCATTCCTGTGCTATCAGAGTCAAGAACATAACTTCCTTCTGCCCTACATCAGAGAACTTGAAGTGAACTTGATGGTACAGATTGTTGAGTACTTGGTAGAAGAAAAGAACGTGAGCAAGCTAAAATTTGAAACAAGGAGAGTGGCTGTGATTGATAAGAAGGTTGATACTGAGCACCAGGACAACAGTGAAGCAGCAATCAGAGAAGACTGAACAGCCTGGGACTCTGGTCTTGGCGTGGTCTCTGCACACAGCCCTTCTGAACAATGAGAACCCTGTGGTTACCGTCTTAGAAAAATTCTCTTCAGTGTGTTGTATCTATGTCTGCTTTAAAAACAGCAACAAGTTAGTTCCTTTAGCAATGCCTTAGTAACTCCTTATTGTATTCAAAAATACCTTTTGGAAAACAAATGGGACACATGAAAAATAGGCTGATTTGAAATCAAGTAGTTTGAGGTGTACGTGCAATAAGGCAAACTGTATTCTCAAAGGAAATGTTTTTCTTGTAATGTTTTCACAATTTTTTCTTCTAAATAATTGGACCTGCACATTTTAAAAATCAGATCACTATGGGAAATGATATGTGCGGTTAGCAAGGCTGACCAAGTGTAATCCTGTCGGTCAAAACACCCAACCTTCTGTGCATGCTGTGTCTCTCAGCAACCAAATCCCCTTTCCTTCAACCTCCCCAGATAACTGACACCTTTGAGTACCCTCACTCAAAGGGCCTACTGACACCTTTCCCTGTATATTTCTGACCTGTACTGTGCCTTTGCTTTGAATAAAGTTACCCTTCTCTAAACTGGAATACCCTGCCCAGACTCCAATAACCAATTAAGTACTGGACAAACAGTTACACAGAGCGAAGTAAACCAATTCTCCTCTCTCACGAATAAAAATTTCCCACGTACTTCCTACTCCATTTCCATTGTGACATTTATGTTCTCAATGGCTCACCAAACTAATCAGTTTTTTCAAAAATAATCATCAACCTGAGGTCTCCATGTCCTACAATATAGATTAGTTAAGGATGCACCATCTCTGCTACGTTATTCACCAAATAATGGATGAGAAATCAACAGAAGACAAGAAAAGTGGATTAATAAGTGTGGGAGGCAAGCTGGCACACTTTAAGGGTTCCTATGAGGAGAAGAGAGGGATAAGAAGCTTTTAGATATAAAGATAGCGAAGAGGAGAAAAACAGAATCACAGGATAGCTTCGGGAGGACCCGGATCAAAGCCCAACAGTCCCTCTGCCTCTTCAAAAGGGCTTTTTATAACAATGCCAAGAAGTGGGGCAAAAGACCCTCCCCCTCTTGCTGGATCGAAGCACACCACACAGCCAAGCTATGCCCATGGTCAAATCATCCCCTATGCAGCCCTGCTGGGTAAAGCAAGCTCAGATTCTCGGACCCTGAGTAACTTCTCACTAGGAAACCTCTGTGGGTCTCTACAAATAAGTGACTCTGCCTATCAAACAATGTAGAACTCTTCTGTTTCAATTTAAGACAAGTTCTCTGGCCTAAGTCTCCAGCCACACCGAATTCATGAGAAGTGTTTAGTTTTTTCCTTCTCCCTTTCACTTTCGTTTTCTTCCTGTGTCAATTAGACCAACATCAGTTGAAAACAAGTGATTTCTTATTGACTTAATCCTACATCAGTTACATGAATAATTGTCTATGTTAAACATGAACATTGTAGGTTTATAGAAGGTCGATGAATAAAGACACAAAGGAAAAAAGAGTATTCCTACTGAGAAGGAACCCAGTTTCCCAAAAAATAGTCTACAATGCATGTATAAAAATGTAAAATCCCGGCCGGGCGGTGGTGGCACATGCCTTTAATCCCAGCACTCAGGAGGCAGAACCAGGTGGATCTCTGTGAGTTCGAGGCCAGCCTGGCCTACAGAGCAAGCTCCAGGACAGGCACCAAAGCTACACAGAGAAACCTTTAATTGAAAAACCACAAACAACAACAACAACAAAAAAGTAAAATCCCACAAACATTTTGGATCATGACAGTCAAATTTTTGGGTAGAATGGGATTGGTCCTCAAGAAGGCAACCCCTAGCTAAGAAGGTATGGACAACTGATGCATTTGTGGAGATGGAGAGTCATTTTTCCTCAGAAATGTCACCACTAGTAGGCTGCCCACACACACACCCTCTGGATGGCCACACACATTGAGATAACACTGACTGAACTCAGTGGGTTATAAAACAAAAGCACATAAAATAAAGGTGTGCTGGGGTGTAAGGGTTAGATAAAATACATCACTTATAGAGAGGAAATTCCCAATAATAAACATATTAAATAGTTTCTTAGCCTTTTCATAAGCTACTTGAGGCATGCAAGTAGCCAGGCCCCACACCTAAGCACCTCCAAAGGCCAGGCTCTGCCCACAGAACACTAACTGCCTTAAAGACCAGACTCAGCCCTGCCAGGCATCGGTGGCCAAGCTCTGCTCTACAGAGAAAAAGCCCAAAATCTGGGCTTAAAAACCCACGAATTCCCACCCTGGAAATCTTCACCTTCGAAAGTTTCACCCCCAAGAAATGCTATATAAACCCTGCCTTTTGCTCAGTTCTCTACTGCTTCTCACCCAAGCAGAGGCAGCCACCCTACTGGGTCTTGTCTTAATAAATCTGTTCTGTGGTTTGTTGTGAGGAGTGACTTTGTGGTATTCCCTGGCTCCTGACTTAGGATACCTTTCCCTTCTGAGCTGTAACACTTGCCATGGGGAAACATGTCCCCCGTTAGAACTATAACACTTCTACTGGGGAAGCCTTGTTGCTCAGAGCTGTAACACTTATACTTTAAATAAGAAAAGAAGAAATTAGATCTCTGCAGGGTTGGCATGCAGGTAAGCAGGTAAAAAACTTGAATTCTTACTCAGCTTTGGTGTTAATTTGAATTGCTGCAATTAAGCAAATCGGTGTGAGCTTGCCTCAAAAGCAGAAAATAGAATTACTATTTCACCAAGCCATACATTTCTCTGCATATCATGAAAAGAGTCCATACACTACAACAGAGACATACACACTTGATGATCATTGCTGCTCTAGTCCCAATAATTAGAGAAAGAATCAGCCTGAATGCCCATCAGGTGATGCCTGGATAATGGAGATGTGGCACATGGTGCAGGATATTTGATCATGGTGTGTAAAGATATGTCTCTGTCCTTCCTTGCATGCCTACGGCACCTTCTGATTGGGTTAAGAAAGAGCAGAATGGCCAACAGCTAGGCAGGAGAGGATAAGCAAGACTTCTGGGCAGAGATAGGAACACTGGGAAGAATCTGAGGCATAGGAGATTTGCCAGCCAGATGCAGAGGAAGTCAGACATATGGTACTGGGGAGAAGTAATGAGTCACAAGGCAGAATGTCGATTAATTAATATAAACAGGTTAATTTAAGTTTTAAGAGCTAGTTGGGAATAAGGCTAAGCTAAGGTCAAGCCTTCGTAATTAATAAGAAGTCTACATGTCATTACTCGGGAGCTGGCAGTCCAAAGAAAGACCAGCTACATTTGGTGTCCAGCGTGGAGGCATGTATATCTAAACATAGGGCCTGAGAAAGCTGAAAAAAGGTCTGGACACAGAGCAGGATACAGCTTCCTAGCAACCAGTGTCTCTCAGGCAGTCAAATGCTCACTGTGTACAGAGACGCAGCTCATTTAAGAGGCCGTGCTGTGCAGTTGAGCCCTTGCGTAGGGCCTGTGAACAGCTGGCATGCTGGTCGGCGAGAGACTAGGTAGAAGTACTTGCTGCAGCATGGGCTCAGTCACTTCCCAGAGCCAGGGTGGCTAGGCAAGAGGCTTGGCTCTCACAGAAGAGCAAAGCAGCACTTTCCAGAGCCACAGTGAATACACACCGAAGTCTCTCTGGCTGTCTTGTAAATGCTTACTGCATGTGGCTGTCCCTTCCTGTTGGGTCATGATGGGTGGCCTAGCCTTTCAAGGCTTAGCTCACACTGCAGACATGTAGAAAACCAAGTCCAGACTGAAGAAAACCTCTGAATAGGCACATTATGCTTGAAAATGTGTTTAAGTACTGAAGAAAGGAAAGAAAATGGGCAAACAGAGTAAGAAAAAATAAATAAGTAAATAAATAAATAGCTTGAAAATAATAAAAGGAAGTATTTAAAGAGAAAGTAAAGTAATATAAAAAGAATAAGCCACATAAGGATGAGAAATATAACACAGGATGTTTGGGCCCTATATAATGCTTTATTAACTTTTTTGAATGCTAGTGAACAAAAAACAACAGCTACTGAGAGACATTGGATTTTGGGGACAAAAAAAAAAAAAAACAACTGCTGAGTTAAACAAGCCTATATATATTTTAAGGATGTCTTGACTTCAAAATGGAAGTAGGAAATTTGTTGTGTTGGAGGAGATGTTATGCTTTTGTTTCCAAAGGAAGAGAGAAGTTATGGGATTCCTTAAAATTAATAAAGATCAGATTTGACTGGGGGAGACCTCCTGAAAATCTTGGCTGCAGAAACGAAGTAAGAAACCAAAAAAACTACCAGACAGGTGATGTATATGCTGATCCCCTGACATGTGAACAGCTCTGACAGTAGATGAGACATGATAAATTTGTTAGCTATAGAGTCTTAATAACTTATTATTATATGCCATCCTTTCATGAGGCCTGGAAGGTGATTTCTATCACAGTTTTGTTAAACAGTCCAAACAGACTTAAAAGTTGACAGATGTCTTTTACCTGCTCAAACATAGATTAGAAAATCAACTTTAGCTGACTTGTGCACACCACACAGTCCACGCTTGTGTTAATGCAGATACGTATGTTACATTTAAAAGTTTATATGACAAGACAAGTAGCCCAGGTGATACAGTCTCACAAAAAGCCTCTGTTGCGGTTTCCTCAAAAATCTGCATCCAGAAGAACTTCAAAGCAGCTAGCTGAGATGGTCCCACCTCACAGACTACTGCAGCCAGGACTTCACTTAAGTGCAAATTCCCAGTACACACAGACTGGACATAAAATGATACAGCTAGCTCTCCCAGGACTTAACCATCATCCCAAATTTCTCAGGGTCCTCTAAAGATGCCATTGCCCCCAGACAACAGGAAGTAATTTTAAGAACACAATGCTTACATTCCCAAGAGATAGTATAGGTGGTTTTTGGTCATTCGGTGGATTATGGATGTTTGTCTTTATTTAGGGAGATTAGTTGCAATTTGTTATTGGTTATAGTCAGTGAGGAAACTAAACAAAAAAGGTTAAATTAAGGGATTTCTTTCTTTTTCTTTCCTCTATCCTTTACTATCTAGTGAAAAAAAAATAGGAGAGGGGATATAGGAATGATAGGATGAAAGGGGAGATATCAGAATCTACTTTTAAACTAAAAATCAGCCACTAGTCTCAAATACTTTATACTGGTATGGGTTTTTGTATATTGATACAAATTTAGGATTCTTTTGTTATAACATATTGTATATATATTTCTACACTTATTTAAGGTATTGTACCTATGCAGCTCATTTAAAATGTAATGTAAAGTTCTAGTCCTTGAAAGCTATTATTACAAACTATTTAGGATAACTATTTAGGATAACTAAGAAATGCAAGTCAGTAGTTAGTTATCTATAACAATCAAACTTATAGTCATTAGGTATGTTTTTTAAGATTAAACAACGATATATTTTAGATAGGTGGTCTTCAAACACTTCACAGATCTGCAGAATATGGAAATTAAATTGTTTTAATAACATGAGGCTTTTCATGACAGTGAGATACGTCTGATCCTGGCAGCACCAATATACTTCAGAGAAGATGATGGGCATCAAAGAAACTCTATATAGAGTTTGCTTTCAATGTGGCAAAGCTAGCCACTGGGCAAGAAACTCTTCTTGCCTCAGTTACTGACAGCATACTGTCTAATTGGACAAGCAAGTCACAATGAAGTCTACTGCCAAACTTTGCAAAAACAAGATGGGACAGTCCTTCAAAATTCCTGCTTCACAGAACAGTCTGTAGATAATGTAGGCTGGGATGGATGCCCCAACGTTGCAGGGGAACCTTGCATGACTGTCCAAGCAGCCAGCTGCTTCTGTCATTTCTAGTTTTGGAAGCTGCTTGCTCTCCACATCCTGTTTACTCAGGTAATATTTTATCCTTCCCAGGTCACAGATGTGGTTGAAGATTAGACAGTTGTAGTTTTACAGTTTTCCTTGTTACTAATTTCAGAAAAGAAACTCACAAAGGAGATGTAAAGTTTATAAAGGTTGAGAGATATAAAAGCTTAAGTGTTTATCAAGAAAATGTTTTAAGGTATAAAAAGATATTTTTAGGTTTATAATGTAAGTTATACTAAAAAGTGATTTAGGCACAAAACTTTGGACCTACCAAGATAGGATAGATAATAGAGTACTTTCTCCAAAGTTGCCAAATAAAAATGGACTGGATATCGTGAATGTAATTCATACCTGATAATTATTCTCATTGTATGTAGTTTAACTGTGTTAAAGTCAAAAAATATTTCCTTCTGAGCCATGTAACCCAAGCACACAAAGTCCAATGCAGTCGGTTTCTCATATATATGGATTCTATCTCTGATCTCTTACCCATCTGTATCAAAACTGGACTGAGTGTTCATAGAAAACAAGGAGAAGAAAGGTTCCATGAGATCTGTGGGTAGGTAGGAGTGTTACAGGGATAGTAGAATGTATGTGATGTACAAATAAAGTGGTGGATACAGTAGGAAAAAACAAGTATGGAAACGGGAAGAGAAGAGTAGTTTCCAGTATCAAGGTTCAGGAATATTTTCAGTTATGAAGTGAACTGCAGCAGATTCAAACCACTTCTGAGTGTGTTGTCTGTCATTCACTGAACCCAAGCCCTGGTTCTCCTACGATCGTGGTATCCCCGATGGGCCAGTCCGTGGCATTCGCCAGCTTCTCTGAGTCTATGAGGCCCAGACGTTTTGCCTCTTGGCCACTTGGTCCCCTTTCTCCTCCTTCTCTTCTCTTTGTCTCCTGCTCTCCCTACCCTTCCTCTTCTACCATGGCCCAGGTCACTGCGGACCACTCCAGAGGCCCTGGACGTGCTGTCTTCTCTCATATTTACAGTGAACCTTCTCCTCCACCACACACGGGTGTAGTCATGTCCTCTCTTATTTTTAATTCACCTGCCACCGGGATTCCAGGAGCCCAAGGCATACTCACCATTTTGTGCATCTGATGTGTCTAGATGTCCTCCTGAAGACTCCTGCAGTCAGCAGAACACAGTCACCTGAACAGGTACTCGGGGGAATATTCTTTGCTAAGCAAAGCAAAACAAAATAAAACAGCATTCAGGGTAGGAACAGGCTCCAAGTAGATTCAAGCACAGGAACCATACAGGGCTTGATAGGAAACCTGAAACATTAGGAATGAGTTAAAAGCCCATGACTTTTTCATGTTTCATGTGTCCCACTTCATGTTTCATGTGTTCCACTTCATGTTTCAATGTGTCCATTTTCTGCCAATATACTTAAAACACACCAACAAGGAATACAATTACTCAATGGATGGATAAAATAGACATACATGGCAGGAATACTCCACTTAGGGCTCACAGTTATGAAAAGCAGTCCCTGAATTCAGAAAAGGTTTTCTTTGCATAAGGCCATGAGGAAACCCTCCATCCACTAGAGTAAACATTCCCAAATCTCAGGATCTCACAGTCTGCTAACAAAGAGCCCACAATGGTCACTCTCTAGTGATGACGCAGAGACACTAAATGATTAACCCTGAGACTTCACCATGCCTGCTTCTGCTTTCATGAT